TAGGAGAAATGTAAGAACCAACTGCACAGAAGCCCATGATTGTGTTGCAAATAGACGACGTTTTTAAAAGTTTCAAAATATAAAACTTAAAACTGTAGACAAATTAAGGGTCCCCTGAGAGGGAAGATGCTGGCTTCCCCATCACAACTATGTTAACATCTTGGCTTTGTTCACTGATTTGTCTGGATAACTTTCCCTTTCAGCCTAGTGTGGAATTAGGTAGTCTCTCTGATTTTTTAACATCGCTGTCCCAGTGCAAATTAGTGCAAAATGTTGCTTCCAGGTTCTTCAGTAAGAAATTATGTCTTAGGTATGCAAGCAACTTGTTACAGGCTGGAACTATGTTAGCTGTGTCAGCACTAGGCACAATTCCAGCTTTTGGTTGCTCCAAGCCTGCTAATACAAATGTTTATTAAAGAATGGTAAATATAATTTCCAAAGTAAACAAATATTCTGGGACATTTGACAGTGACTGTTTTTCCTTTATACTTGAGAGACAAACCTTTGAATTTCAATATTATTAATGAAATGGGCTTTCCATTATTAACATAAATAACATAGATCTCCCCCTTGTGGTCTGGAATCCAGACAAAGTAGGCAGTGAAGAAGCAGCCGAAAGCTGTTATTCAGGGGAGAAGAGCAGTCTGTGCTTAAATGTTTAAAGTCTTTCCTCTTTTTTAAAATTTCCATCATCCTGGGTGGTTTGGCAAATCACCTTTCTCTTATATACAGCACAGGCTAAAAACGCCCTTTCCAATGGCTCAGAGGGTAAAAGAAGGGAGAAGAGTACCATCACAAGATATCTTATATTTTAAATAGAAAAATGAGACACAACTGTTCAGACAACATATTTACTTTCAGCAAAGTCTTGAGCCATGATTAAAGAGCTGCATAGTATAAGGGGATAAAATGAAGGCATTCCTGTTAACCAAACCCAAATATTCATATGACTTACCAAGTCATATGAATATTTTCGAACAATGCCAGAAACTCAACCAAAGGTGTTAAGCATCCCAAGTTTGTAGTGTGTAAACTACTGAGCTCTACAAGTCTTCCAGAAACACTACTGCAATTCCAGTTTTTATAATGTAACAAGTACAGGTACAGAAGAGTTTCAGTGGTGAATGAGACATGATGATCATGTTACCCAACCTCTTTTTAAAAATCACTAATTCCAGTATCTCATCACCAGCTGTAGCCATCTCTTTAAGAACTTGAGGAAATGAGATTTGCATACTGAGGCTCTATGTAGTATAATTACTATGAACAACACAATGGCATCCTCCATCATTGCAATTATATGTGGTTTAGAAACAAATCAAGAGGCTACTACAAAGCCTCTTCTGCTTGGACCATTATATTGAAAAGTATCAGCTTTTGTTTTCTGAAAGCCTCTGAACAGCTATTCATAAGCATCTGTAGCCAGTTGATTGCATCACTGGAAAGGGCTATTGTTTTGAAGCTGTGTTTGACACTGTGTTCAGCCCCGAAACATCAGCAGTCAACAAAAACAAGCATAACTGGATTTCTAATGCTGTTTTTTCACCTCCTTGCCTTATAATACCAGAAAGGTGTACGGCATATCCATCTACATGAGATGCACTTATAAAGAGGATGGCCCTGGAACTGGAAAGAGTTCTGAAAATTGTATCTATTTGAGTGAGGAATTATTTGAAAGATATGTGATAATATCAATTACAGAAAGGGGCCTTGTGTCTTGACATCACTGGCTGATAAATGAAATGTCTGTTCTTTATACTCACTAGGCCATTGTCATCTCCAAGGTATCTGGCTGGTTGAATAGCTAAAACAGGTGTCGTGTTCAATAATACTTGCTTCTATGCAGCCCTTAACATTCTCAATAAGAAGGAAGTAGTACAAACTCAGAAGCAGACACTGAATTCATCCTTGAAGACCATCAGACTAACCATCTCCTTTGCACTGTTATCACCATTATATAGCATCTCATTGCTATCATGACTGATAGGGCTACTTTTCATCCACAAGTCCTCATCACAGGATACCCCTGAAAATAAAGTAGTCAAGTGTACTGACTCACAGGTTAAATTATCCATTGCATTATATGGAATGCATACAGCTATACTCAGTTCATGTGTACAGAGAGTTACCAATGACATGTACACTGAATAACATCCTCTATAATTTTATTTAGGTCAAAGTCTGAAAGGCTACTGTTATAAAAAATATTGCATTTATATAGTTCATTTTGTAAACATACAGCATCAATATTCATCTCAAAGTCTCTATGATGTAGCCAGCATTATTATCCCCCCTTACTAATACATGTTTATCCAATTTCTCCTCCAAGGAAATCCAACTAACATGTATAGCCTTATTTATTAGGCAAAGCTTTCATAACTTAGTGGCTGAGGAAGGATTTGAATTCAGTTCTTGTTATTCTTAAATTCTAACTTATCTAGCCAAATGTTAGCTCTGCATTCCAGATGAAGCCCTCATGGCCTAAATCATCCAGAAGCTGCCTCCCATAAAATCCCCTTGACAGCTAGGTAGGATTTTGCCTTTAATCCATGTTACAGTGAATTGTTACAAACAACAATTTCTATTATCCTATCATTATCAGAATAATTTATTCTGCTTCATTTCAGTAATTGACAGTTTTAGTTTTCTTTGTTTGAGGCATGCATTAATTTCACTGGTTTATATATAAATTTTTATTAAGTTTCAGAAAAAAGTGAAATACAAAAAGATTGAAAAGAGAAAAAAATAACAAAAGAGAGAAAAATACAAAAGAAAGAAAGAAAAAGAAAAGTAACTTCCGACTTTCTTTGGTACAGGCATAGATATAAAATAAATTAACCTCTTACTCCAATATCTAAACATTCACATAATAAAAACCATCCTTTAACATTAAATATATATATATATACACACATATATATAAAAAATAAGTCTATATCATCAAAAATATAACAAGAATAATACAAGATATTTCTGTAGTTATAGAATAAATCAGTCATCAAATCCCAAAATCAAAATTTCATTTTTTTGTGTATCAAGTAAAAAGTCCAAGAGCGGTTTTCAAATAGAAGCAAAGCCATACTCTGTATGCGGAGAAGTGGAAGGATCTACAAATACATACAGCTGAAGAAGGGATATTGAAATTAATGGAATTGGTGGAGATAGCGAAACTGACTGATTAAAGACATTCCACTGGTTTAGATGTCTTTTCTATGTTGGTTTTTAACACAGAACATGCACCTGCATACATGCGTTGTTAAATCGGGAGGAGTCATAAGAAAAAAGGAGCCTTTTATATTTTGTCATGCCTCCATACATGCCATAACATCTGTATCTCTGTTCTGACAGCTTACGGGAAGTGGACTGTATATACCTATCCTGATAATGCTATTAAAAAAAGGGAGAAATTTATGAATTCTGGCGTGAAAATTCTTGCATGTTCAACTCTTTACTGAGACACACAAGAGGCAAATTTAAGTGCCATTTTGCGGTCCAGTTTGATTAATCTGGGTTTCCGTACTCATAATTAACACAGATAGGACTCTCCATTTCAGCCATAAGCACACATCAGAAGGTCAGGCCGGAAGCCTCCGAGCTACATAGCCTTCACTGAACACATTAAACCCTATACAGTAGTTACAAGAGTGTTTCTCAACCTTGGCAACTTTAAGGCGGGCGGACTTCAACTCCCAGAATTCCCCAGCCAGCTGGCTGGGGAATTCTG